ATCTGCCACTTCGTCGGTTACAAACATCAGCCGTCTGCTTTGTTACGCCCGCACTTTCCATTTCGATACGTTGTACGCCGAGACATTTGTGCCCTCTGCAAAGAGTTGTTTTTTCCCCATTCGCCATCACTTTATGTTTTGGTTTGGGGTGGAGCCCACAAAATGCCTCTTCAGTTTTCAATTTTGCTTCATTCTCAGTACTGCAATGCTTGCAAAGTGTTTGCACGGTCATTTTTGACACTTTTTCTTGTGTTGTTGTCATGTGCATGTCTGTGTGGTAGCGTCTTTCTCTGCTCAGCTTCCTTTGGCTAGTGGGATCTCTAGCGATATCCACTGGGGCAACTGGCGCGCTGACTTGAAAGTTCAGGTATCGTTTTGTGATCACTTATTCTGAGGCTACATAGCAAAGGTACAAAGATGTACCTCTCGCACCAAAAGTAAATTTTGAGAACATAGTTCTAGTGAATATATCATTCTTTCCGATTTTCAGAAGCGAACCCGTCGTACGGAATGCTTTAAACGGCGCTCAGCCTACATAAAAAAGAATGTATTCATACACAATATATGTTTACTATTGTTGCAGTTGTAATCAGTGGATATCCCTGTGCGAAAACACGGAAAGAAATTAATAGACCGATCTCACCAGCCAGTTTGACTACGCCACCGCTGCCGCAATGCATCGAGGGAGCTTTAGACTTCCTGAACGTGCGACAACCTCGCTGGAGCTCTGCGCATGTGGAGCATGAGGCGGCACGAGCTGTCTTAGGCACTGCTGCCTGCCTCCCGCGAACTAAAGTTATGGCAGCGTCACGCATGCGCCGAACGCTTGGTGAGATCGGTCTATTGTTTCAGCTCTTAGAATAAGGATATGGGGCCCTCACACGTCTGGAACGTCGTTCAGTTGACACGTTTTCATTGCGTCGTCTGCTTTCGAAAATTCCAGGTCCGCTCAACCCTTAGGTGTTTGTAGTAGTTTTTAGTATTAACGAAGCTATATCACATCTCTAGGAAGTCGTGGACTTGTGCCGGAGTTCTTTGTCCGTTGTTGCTATGCTGCTTTTATGTATACGCCTTTACCCTGGGGACATTTTCTTGCTGCTACCCGTTTCGTAGAATGACATGACGGACGGGTTCAACAACACGTAATGATTTATTCACTGTCATCGACCGCGCCGTGATCCCAAGAGCCTCGCGTATTTGCTGCAACTGCCTTTTATAAGGGGCGGAGTGCCGCTCGCGTGGTCCGATGTACTCGGCCCACTCGTGGCAGAAATGCCTGTAGTCGATTTGGCATGCCGGTTGCCTGGTACAAAAGTTTGAATTGCCAGGTGTCCCACAACCTGTGTTCGCTATATTGGTTGGTGTTTGTGGTGAGCATACTGTATGGGCTGGTGTAGGTATGTGCGGCACCTAAAAACCTTAAAGTTTAGTTTTCTAGAGCCATCTAGCAGTAATTGCTGCAATTTCCTTATAAGATGTTGAAGCGTGTTTACTAGATGGCGCAAGCTGCAGCCCGATTCATGAAGATGAGCGTTGATGTATCCATCGATTAAAAAAATGTAAACAGTAGGCCTCTTTACCTAGTCACTTAGATAACAATCCTGGTAGTCTTGCCACCCACGTCAGCGGCCGTCCCCGCTCTTGCCGCTCATTCACACTGGAAGCGGATCCGCGTTCGCAAAGCGGTTGCGAACGCGTTTGTATAAATATCTAGTACAATTGCACGCGCACTTGACGTCATCGAGTACGCGTGCAATATCACTGGATTTTTATACAACCGCGTTCGCAACCGCTTTGCGGACGCGGATCCCCTTCCTGTGTGAACGAGGGGTTGGAGAAAAAACACGCGCACGAATGGATAACTCGCGTCAGCTTAGAAAGACGCCGGCAAGAAGCGATAAAAACGTCTCCAGGTACACCTAAACACTTATCATTTGTGATTGCGAAAGCACGCACGCCGCACTTCCGCTCCCTTCTTTCGTCTGCGGAGTACTTGCGTCAACGGTCGAGCGCGCGCGCTGACCTTGGGCGTGGAGTGGTGGGACCGCTGCCTCGTGTACACGCAGCGCCATGGGGTGGCGGTCGTTCAAACTGACGCGCAGCGGCCAATGCAGCCTCGACGACATGCGCCAGCCAATGGCACCGAAGGTGAAATCCATCAGCTTTACTCCGGTCCTTCCCTAGTGAAAAATACACCAGCTCGAGGGCTGGTGTGACTTGATGTTACACCAGACTTTTTCACAGATGTGATTTGGGACGTTTTCTGGTGTGACACCAGAAACCTGGTGTTCTGTTGTGACACCAGAAATCTGATGTGTGGGAATGACACCAGAAATCTGGTGTTCTGATGTTACACCAGAAATCTTGTGTTCTGGCGGGACATCAGGTTTTGTTGTAATATGGTACCAGACCACCTGTTGACTGGCTGTTGCTTTACTCACAAAAAAGCGTACAATGATAAGTTTGACAACAACGCTGCTGCCATAATTACTTTATTCAAAAAAGCAAAAAAGCCCAACAGTAAAACTTCTGAAGCTTTACTGTTGTAGGGAGTTGGCCGTGATCAACTGGAGTTTGTCCGGAGCCACTGCCCTGCGTCGAAGAACCGGACGCCCTGTCGTTCCGAAATTCTTGGCCTTTCAGCTTGCGGTTGACTCGTGTGTTAGTTACGCTGATCCGTTCCGCGTACCCCTCCGCACCAGAAATTTCCTCTTCTAAGGCATCATATTCGACAGATAGCTCGATTTCCTTGTCCAGCTCTTTCAGGGAAGCCTCCTTAAGTAGAAGAATATCAAATGTTTCTTCGAGCTCACCGATGTCGGTTGGATCCGTGGCCAGCAGACGCCAGTCTCGTTGATGATCTTTGTTGTGGCGGCTCGCAGGGTAATCCTCTTTCGCTTCAGGCGGTCGACGCCCTCCTCGCTCGTAGTAGGCATTTCGGCCCCAAAAACTGTAATAATTACTAGCTTCCTTTGTTTCTTTGCGACCAAACCAAGCTCGTCGGAAGTAAGGAAAGCGCACCAACCCATCTTTTCGGCTTCGACTCACAAAGAAGACTTCTTTACTTTCTCAAACTTAAACAAGAATACCGGCGGAAAGGGAAAGAGAAAGCTTCGAAGAGGCGAGCCGGCGAGCGCCCCAAGCTGCTCAAGGCCGCCCGGGAAAGTGCTCGGGACGAGAGGGACACTTATTGAGCACAAAGGTGCCCGCCGCGGGGTCTCCGGCGACCACCAAGACGGGAGGAAACAAGGCACCCCGTCGGGGGACGGAGCGGCACACGAACTAATAGAAAACGTGCGCACGGACCGGGGGGAGAAGTCAACAAAAACACAACTCTGGTGTCACATCAAACTGCGTGGTGTGCACACCAGGCTGCCTGGTCGGCGCATGAGTCCTTATGGTGCGACACCAGACTCCCTTGGTGTACCCATCAGGCTGATGTGCGGGTACACCAGCATTTCTGGTGGGCACGCCAGGCTGGTGCGCTCGATACATCAGCATCGCTGGTGGGCACACCAGATATTCTGGTGTCACATCAGGATTCTTTGATGTCACACCAGGATTGCCTGGTGTATTTTTCATTAGGGTTTGGAATCAGGGAAACTAGGCACCACTTGGCTACGCTTTTCGCGTCGTTTTATAGCTGAGAGCCGGTTTCGCTTGGAGAAAGGATTGAAGGTGCCGTCTGGCACGGCTTCAAAGCTGATGATGTCGGCTCGCTCCATGGCATAGTTAATGCTTTCGCCTTAAAATAGCAGTAGCGTCGGAGCAAGTGCAACACATCTGGTCGGTGCCGACGGAAGGTTCCTAGCGATTCGCCGTACATTACTGCAAGCATACGTTATCCTCAATGAAGTCATCATGCGCAATCCTCGCGTACCGATTTTGTTTTTAGCGTTTTCTGCCTATGGTAAATATGCAGCCAGTCTGGCAAGACGCAGTCGGGAGTAAACGCGACGTTCACGCCACATGCACAGTCGACCTTACTGGACATAGGTATGGCACCGGTGTTTAGAGGCGAATATTTAGAGTGTCTGATGGCACATGCAAGATGCTGAATAGGCGTATGAGTATTATTTACTCATCGCCTAGAAAAGCCGAGCTGTTTGCTGGGCCTCACCGAAGGGCTCACCTCTCGCCTATCGGCCGCTATGTTGTTTTGTGGGGGAGTGATTTCGACCACCGACTGTTTAACTAGGTATTGGGTCGTTATTTGGGGTTGAGAGCTGGTCACATACCTGGCAGCTTCTTGATTACCCCAAAACTATTACGGTATGTTGACATTTTGACAGTCCAGCCAAATATTTGTCAAACTTAGAAAACACAAGCGCCGGTGGCATTTATTTCAATGAAATAAACTTCTCAGCAAGAATATCCACCTTGTTGTCTACTCGGTGACAGCCTTGCTTCACCGAAATAAAGCCCATAAACACGGGCATGGTGGCGGGAGGCCGAAGGCGTCGGTATATAACTGAAAAGAAAAACCCCTTAGTGAAAACAGCAACAACGGACGATTTATCCTTCGACGTTTCGGCCGGAGTCAGGCCGGACCGGACGAAACGTCGAATAATAAATCGTCCGTTGTTGCTGTTTTCACTAAGGGTTTTTTCTTCTCAGTTGTGTGTGTGTGTGTGTGTGTGTGTGTATATAGACATACAGCTGAACATACCCCGGTGTAGACCTGAACATAAATATGTTTTTTGTTTATTTTCTTGTCTTTTTTTTATTAAATTAAGGTCACGCTCTTAACAAAGCACTATATCACCACGCGTTAGCGTCCTATGCGCACAGAGTTTCAGCATTCTGAGAAGTCTAAGTTGTCTATGAGGTGCAAAGCAAAACTGGGTTTTGTATTCTCCCACAACATATTTGTATGTGACATATAAGAAGGGCGTACTTTTATGCAGAAATTCGTAAACGCGAAACAAACTCGGAAGAAATTACTCATTTGATTCTGTATTTTAGGCCTTGAAGCTTATTCCGAGTTTTGTGCCGCACAGATGTTCACCTTGGATATGTCGCCTGAGAAGGAGGTTGGCGTCGCAATTCTAACGGCGGAAAACAGGGACGTCTGGGCGAAGATATACGCCAGTATTGCCCAGAGTGAGTTTCAAACCGAACATATGGGGTATCTCAACAAAATTTCTGGGGTAAGATGAGCCAAAAAAAAATCAGCCACTGAACACTGAAAGCACAGGGTTTCACCAAATGTGTGCCTGTCAGGTCGGTCTTACTGTGTGAAAACGCCAGGCGTAATTGTTTTCCTGTACAAAATGACAGCAAAAATTTCGTCAAAGTTCACGTTAGACCCGTTCTCAGATGACCTTATAGTTGCCGACGCTATTCGGAGACCAAGTCGTCTGCTTCTTGTTCAGGAGTTGCTGCGACGTCAGGACAACGCCGAGTTCTGTTTCGCTTCGACTGGAAGAATTGTGGGTAGACCTTAACGCTACATGCATTAAGGTCAACCCACTATTTTGTTTTTCAAGCAGCCAATAAGACCTCAACGTCCGTACATCATCGAAACCCCTGTGCAAGCAGTAGACGAACTTGCGCTGGGCATTAAGTTCTGGCGCCATCTCCACACAGACACAGCGAACAGACGACGCACTCTGTTGTGTACTCGTTGTTCCTTTTGGGAGACTGCGCCACAAGCTAATGCGGTAAGGAACTCAGAGAGAGGAGGAAACGAGAGTGTGCTTGGACGTCAGAACGCCAAACTGTGATTGGAATGATTAGTGGGTAGACACAAAGCTAGCGGAACTTGTCTCTATTGCACTTGTCGAACACGTTAAAATGCGAGAGCAAACGCCCGACGCCGGCGTTCCGTCTTATAAAGCGCTCGACGAGTGTAGTGAAGCCAAAACTTGCTTTTCTCTCCACTGCACTTGACAAATTCTTTATAATACTAAAGTAAAACGCTGGACGCGGTCACTCCCCGTTTTAAAGCGTTCCAAGATCGCAGTTGTGACACCGGCAACTAGTTTTAGGCCTACCCACTAATAATTCCAAACTGAACTCTGCGTTCTGACGTCCGCTCTCGTGTCCTCCTCTCCCTGAATTTTGGGCGCATAGCCTCGCTCACTAAATCGTCTGCCTAACGTGGACTATGGCGAATTCGCAGCCTCCATTTCTCACGGAAAATAATTTGCTTCTTAAAATTTTACTCTTAAGACTGACCTGCCCACTGCACATTGTGGTGACATTTTGTACTTTATATGTTGACTTACTGATTTTTCGGGTGCATTCTAGTGCGGAAGATCCGTTTGATACACGCCAAGAAGAGCTACCCTTATGTAAGACCCGTGTAAAGCTTCGCGTAAAACTACAGACGTTCCGCCCTGTCTTTGACCTGAATATTCCTTTCTCGTTTCCTCGGGTTTCAAAGAATATTATACACTACAAAACTCGTGTCTGCCATGGACCGCAGCTCTCCGCTGCGGTCCATGGAGGAAAGCTGTGACCAAGCTGCGTCAAAAGGGTCACGGCTCTGGTCCTCTTTCCCAAGTCCCACGAGAGGTGGGGCTCATGTGGGACCGTCGTGAGCAACGGGGGCTCGGGAAGCTCCTGCGAAATCTACATTGGTCACACGTGGACGCTACATCGGCATGCGCAACCTGGGCTGCCCACGCCGCGGCGTGGTTGGTCCCACCTCGGATATGAGAGGACAACGCTGGGCACAGCGTGCGCAAGCCCAACCTGGGCTGCTGATGAAATGCAATCATCCGTCTCACCTTGGCTACGCGAGGGCATCCCCAGTTTGGGCTTTCCGTGGGATACCGCCGCGGGTTTCACTTTGACTCTGTGGCGCCAGGGTTAGCGCAGATGCGGGCTTCAGGGGGGTAAAGTATGGGCATGCCTAATTTGAGCTGCGCCTGCCATACCTTTGTGGGTTTCACCTCGGCAATTCGGGGCAGAGTCAGCGAAATCAAGGCTAAAGCTGGGACACTCCCGAGTTAGACTCCCCATGTTGGTTCCACCTCGGCCGTGCGGGGTCCAAGTTGCGATGGTGTGGGCTCAACAGCGGTAAGGTGTGAGTGTTCCCGAGTTGGGCCGCCCAAGTAAAACATTAGTGCGGCCCGCCTCGGCTCTACTGGTGCAGATGCACTGATGTGGGCTTCACGGCGGCTAAGCGGGGGCGTTCCCAAGATGGGCAGCCCATGTGCAACTCACGTGTGTTCCACCAGGAGTTTGCGAAGCCTGACAGACTCGGGCTGCCCATATAAGGTGGCACTCTGTGAGTACCACTTTATAATAATAATGTTAATTTCTCCATCAAGTACAAGCACACGATGGAAGGTGACTGAGGAAAAAAGCTACATTTGTGCAGCTTGACGAGTCCTGAGCCCCCACCCCATTGGCAACAGCGGCAGGTCACAAAAGAAATGTATCACTTTGTAAACAAACAAACAAAAAAATAGAAAAAAAATTCGCAGGTCAGTAATTTAATGTAGAACATTCAATGTAGCAGATAAATTAGCTCTGCTTAAAAGACGGTTTACTAAACAAATAACTGCATATTCAAAGGTTCAAGATAATCAAAACATTCAAGGGTTCAAGATTCAAGATATATAGCAGGACTATCTAATACTATGTTCATTCACTAAATTCATTCCCAACGAGTATAACTGTAACTTATAAATGAGAACATTGAGTGGAATATTTACTTAGTCATTTCTGTGCAATTCACTCTAAAGAAAAAAAAATATCTCATATATCTTACTGTTCATGTTAAAGGATGATTATCATTAGTGTTAATTAAGTAGGGTCGGAAGCACGATGGATGGCATTTGCGCAACATACGTTGTTCTGCAACTTGGGACTTTCCAGTTGCCGAGGCTACGAGTGTGATATGTTGCCATTTTAAGTGATAAGGATGCTAGTGCACTAAGATTGACATTATTTGCTTTTATTTCAAACCAATACCTTAGACATAACCGATATTTATAGATATTGTAAATATGAATTAAATTAAATTTAGTGAAATGAGGTTTACTTGGGTAATCATATGAAACATTACATATTATTTGTAGCATCTTTTTTGTAGCATACGTATCGTGTTCAAAATTGCCATTGTAGTAATTCTTCAGACGAGGTAAAAGTAATGTATATGTGAAAGAAATAACGAGTTCTAGATTAAAAATTTAGCATTTTTCGGCAAAATAGAGTGGTGACGATTTATTATGCCAACCTCACGTGACATCTTTATCAAGAGATTGTTTAGATGTTCACCCCAAGTCATATGTGGCGTGAAAACAACTCCAAGAGTCTTAAAACTTAACAGAATTTCTATTCTTCTCGAAATCAAAACAATATATATTATAATAGCTACATTTTTATTCTTCGGTTTAAACAAGATAGCCTTAGCTTTGTTCACGTCGATTTATAAAGCGTTAGCGCTGCTCCAACTACTCAACTTCTGCAGAGTTTGATTCGCCTGCTAAGTTATCACAGCAAACACCTGTGAAAAACAAATTGGTATCGTCAGCAAAGATGACCATATTTGGTATTTTTATCCACGATCATGATGTCATTATTATTTAAATTGTACAAAATAACTGTGATAGCCACGTTTGCAATGGTGCGGGCTTCATGGTGGCAAAACGTGGATGTCCCTAAGTTGGACTGTCTAAGTAAGATCCCCCTGGGTTAACCCACCTCGGCTGTGCAGGGGCCAAGTTAGCAATGGCGTGGGCTCCACAGTGGCAGCGGGCGGTCGTGCCCGACTCGGGCTGTTCATGTAAATACCCTGTGTATCCCACTTAGGCTGTGCGCACCACGTTAGCAATGGTGCGGGCTTCATAGTGGCAAAACGTTGGTGTGCCGAACTTCAGCTGCCTATGAAAACCCCCGTGGGTTCCACCTCACTTGTTCAAGGGCCAAGATGGCATTGACACGCGCCCCACAGTAATTAAAAGTGGGCACACACAACTTGGGCCGCCCCTGCAATGCACCCATTCGTCCCACCTTGGTTATGCGAGGGCAGTCAGCCAAAACGTGGGCTTCACAGGGGCGCAGCGTGAGCATACCCAACTTTGGCTGGCCATGCAATACCCCCGTTGGCCCCACTTCGGCTATACGGGGAGGAGATATATTGGGCTGCCCATGCAATGACGCCGCCGTGTGTTTCACCTCGGCTTTACGGGAAAAGAGCTAGCACAAATGTAGGCTACACAAGGTAACGCGTGGGCATGCCTAACTTGGGCTGCCCATGCATGCTCCCTGGGTCCCATCTGTGCTATACGGGGCCGGTTAGCATAGATGTGCGCTCCAAGCGGTCAAAGCGTGGGCATGCCCAACTTGGACAAACTGTGCAACTCACAAAAGTGCCCTTTTTTGCCAATATTTAGAATATATAGTGCTGGTTCTGAAGGTTTAACAAAGAAGATCGAATTGATTTAATCTTTTACGCAGAGTATAGACTTTGTGAGTGAATTCGAAACAGGGTCGTCAGAATGTCGTATTTGTTCTAAAATTCGGTGCCTGTAGATGGCTCAAGCTGGTTATGTATCCCAATTAGGTGTCCGATACAATTTTACACAGAAACGTGTGCAGTCAATGAAAAAACGGTTAAGTGCAGGCGAGCAGGTGTAAGTTATACATGATGATTGAAAACCTGAGGCTGTGGTTTTAAAAATGGAAACTCTTGAAGTAGGAAGAAAAAGGGACATACAACGTCTGTCCATTTCGTAAGCTTGAATTCCCCAATTTGAATGGCTTGCTCAAACCGTCGCTTTAATATATCAAAATGGTAATATTTCCGGTAGACTCACGAGGAAAGGAAGGCGTGATCAATTCGGGATGTTATTCAGTACCCCACACCGTAAGGAGATTATAAAATGACCATGAACAAAATGAGGTACTCTGGGAAACCTCATGTGGGCTGCCCACATATGCCTTTTGTGGGCCCCACGAGGGGGACCCATGTTTCCTTCCCACCTCGGCATCCTGTGTGCCCCACAAGGAGTGCCGTTGTGGGTTGTCCAAGTAGACCTACTCTGGGTCTCACGGGGGGAGCTCATGTTGCGTGCCCAAGTAGGCCGCTTGTGAGTCTCCCTTTAGCGGCCCAGGTGGGCTCTACAAGAAGGGCGCCACAATGGCCC